CCCTTCCAAAAAAAAAAAAAAAAAAAAAAACTCTTCCTTAATATTGTTCCACAAATCATCTCCCTCCTCTATCTCGATGACAACTGCTCAGTGTACGTAGGCCCAGGGCCAAAGTCACACTCTTGTTCCTAAAGCCTGAGGAGGAGAGAAGTGAAACAGAACAGCCCGTGACACCCATGGGAGCACCTGGCTGCGGGGCAGCAACCAACACCGAATCTATTGTCGGGGCTGCAGTCCTGAGCTCCCACACGGGTAACAGTACCACCAGATGAGCCCACAGAGAAAAAAGCTTAAGCCCCCTCTCTTTCCTCAATCCCAAATGGAGGTGATGATCCCTACCTAGCATGGGAGTAGGAAAGCTTAATAAGTGTTTATAAAGGGCTTAGGACTCAGGGTTGGTAGCTCAGCAGATAGGAGCAATCACCATGCAGAGCACAGTGGAGTCCCAAGTGTGTCTATGCGTTCTAAGTTTATCCCATCTTCCTGGCCCAGCCCAGACCAAGCGTGTTAGCACTGAACTTGTCCTAACGCTCGCACCCATGTTTGTTCTTTTTTAAATTTTATGTGTGTGGGTGTTTTGCCTCCATGCATGTTTGCACACATGTGAGAGTGCTCACAAAGACGAGAAGAAGGTGCTGGGTCTCCTGGAGTTACAGGGGGTGGTGAGGTGCCGTGTGGGTGCTGGGAATGGAATCCGGGTCCTCTGGGAAGAGCAGCCAGTGCTCTTAACCATTGAGCCATCTCCTCTGCCCCACCATTGTGTTTTTTTTAACTATGATAGATAACAGACAGATGCATAGATACACAGACAAATAGATATATATCTCAAAATTATCACAGTAGCTAAATTATGACAAGTTAAGTTTACTAATTTTTTGAAATTAAAATATAGTTGCACCATTTTCCTCCCTACCTTTCTTCTTTCCAACCCCTCCCAGGTGTCCCCTCTTGCCCTCTCTCAAATTCATGGCTTTTTATTGAATTGTTTATATTATATTCCTCAATATATAAATACAACCTGCTCAGTCCATAAGTCAGGTTTTCAAAAAGGCTATGAGAATACTTAAAACAGGAAATCTCTCCCCTTAAAACTTTAAGCACACAATAAATTATCAGTATGGCTGTACAGGACAAACTTGTATGGTCAACCACTGGAACTGTTCATCTTGCTTGACTGCATCTTAGTGCCCATTAACTGGCAACTCCCAATGTGCCTGCCCCTCCTCTGGCCCTGGTGCTCACTGTTCCACTCCTGGGCTCTATGAAGTTGACTCCTCTAGGGACCTCCTGTATGTGGACTGACTTATCTCTGTTAACACAGCTCCAGGCATGCCACTGTGTGTTCTCACTTTCCCACATCATCAATGCTTGCTTGTTGTACAACAAACCTGGCATGTCTGAGGTTCCGTTGTGATTTTACATCGCACTTCCCTGATAACTAGTGACAATGAGCACTTTTTCAGATACCTGTTGACCGTCCACACAACTGTCTCATCGGACAAGTATTTTTTTACACGCTCACCAGATGATTCCAGTAGGCATCCAGGCTTGAACATTTATTCAGCAGAAAGAGCTCAGAACTTAAGTTCAAAAACCATAAAACCTAAAACTGGGGAGGTGGTTCAGTGGTTTAAAATGTTTTTCCACAATCATGAGGATCTGAGTTCAAATCCCCAGCACTCACATAAAAACCAGACACGTGGCACAGGAATCTATATAATCCCAGCACTCCTACAGGTCTGTAGGAGGTGGGACCAGAGAATTTCCAGATGCTCCAAGGCCAGGTAGCATGTTGCAGATGGTGAAAAATCAACAAGGAGACCCTGAAAGCAAACCCCTGAAGTTGCCCTTCGACCTCCACATGTGTGCTATGGCACATATGTGAACACACACACACACACACACACACACACACACACACACACACAGACGCTGTTCAAAATACCCTGAAAACCTAGCGCAATGAAAGGTGAGTTCAGTGTCCTGCTCCTCCCCTGACCAGCTGGCTAGTCTTGGTAAGCTGACCCCCGTTTCCTTGTCAGCCAAGTGGAGACTTGACCCTGTCCCGACAGCACTGTCAGCTACAGCCACATATGTCATCTCCCCACACCTTGTTTCCCTCCCCCCATAGAACGTAAATAATCATCTCCCCTCCCTGCCGGGGTGGGGCAAAATACGAAGACGCCCACCAGCCTGCATCAGTCCATCTTAGCTGTCGTTTTATTGCCTGGCCCTTGGTGGTGATTCTGTCAGCGTGAGTTTTGTTTTGTTTTGTTTTTCTCGATTTTACTGCATCGGCTGTCTGCTTTTACTATGCTGCCGCTTCTTTTTATTGAGTATTGCTTCAACTTATTTTATTTTATGGTATGTTTTGTTATGTCCCTATTGACTCTCACTTTTAAACGGGGGTGGGAAGCAACAACTGCTCAAATGGGCCGACTACGGGCTGGGTGGCTCTCTCTGTCTCTAGTTGGCCATTTGCCCTTCTTTCCTGGTTCAGCAGTACAAGCCCACAGCCTTGACCACAGCCTAGCAGAGATCCTCCAGCAACTTACTCCAAGTTCACATTTTTCTCACCATACCGTCTGTCCTCGATTTATACATGATATGGACTCCTGGACCCCATCTGCAGGCCAGTGGCATCCTGTGGGTGAGGCCCAGGCCACCAGCTGTTGATGCTCTTGGGTCATTTGAAAGTGTCCCCTGGGCTGAGGACCACTGTTGCTACCACAGCTCTTACAGTGTTCCACACATGCTTTGTATGGTATTGTATTACATGTCAAGGCCTGTCTGTCTATTCCCCAGCTAGCTTCTAGTCCTCTTCAAAGCACCTCAGATGCTCGACACACTCTCTCCACTGCTTGGGGTTGCCTAGGGGTCCCCTAAGCTCTTGCACAGGCTCTGGTGCTGACTCACAACTTGGCCATCTAGCCCAGTCTTGACAACACCTGCATCCTCATTCCCATCAGGTCAGCAGAAGCCCAAGGTGTCTCTCACAGCTTTTTCCCCAGTGTCAAGAACAAAAACTGCTAGGGGAGTTTTAAAAAGAAGGAAGGGAGGAAAGGAAGAAAGAAAGGAAGAGAGGAAGAGAAAGAAAAAAGAAAGGAAGGAAGGAGAGAGAGAGAGAGAGAGAGAGAGAGAGAGAGAGAGAGAGAGAGAGAGAGATTATGCAATTGATTTAAAAGATTTATTTTAAGGAACTCAGTCAGAAGAATACTAAAGCTGGCCCAGAGTGTGCCCTGTGGACCGTGGAAAAACTTGAACCCCCTCCCTGACCACACACAGGGAGAGCCTGGAGCTCAAAGATAAAGACCCGCAGCCAACCGGCCCCAAACTGGCTGCAGGCGGTCCCAGTTTGAACAGACAACGGCCCTCTTCTCTCTGAGCTGCGGCCTGCTCTTTTCATCAGTGGTTTTGGTCTGTGGTCAGAGTCACATGACACTGAGGTAGGCGGGGCTAAGCCACTTACCCTGCTGGAAGCACGCAGCCACACAGCTTGCCAGGACTGCAGCCATCTTGCTTGTGACTGCTGCTGTACCCACCCGGTGACTTATGCACACCACCCACACCCTACAGGGCAAAGTCATTAAAATTGTCATCCACGGGTACCGTGCTGGCTGCTGAGGCCTGAACCATTTCTTCACTAACACACTGGATAGGTTGATAATCGTGTGTGTGTGTGTGTGTGTGTGTGTGTGTGTGTGTGTGTGTGCACGTCCACACAGTGAGCATGTATGTGTCCTGTGCATGTGTGTGAATGTGGATGCACACATGTCACAGTGCACATGTGGAGGTGCACTCAGGTTTAATCTGTCAATCTATAGCAAACAACCTCAGGTTTCGGTCCTCAATTTCCCCCTTGTTTAAGACCGTCTCTTGGTTTTTTGTTTTTTGTTTTTTTGTTTTTTTCCCAGTGTCCAAACCACACTAGCCAGCTCCTGAGCTTCAGGTATTCTCCTGCCTCCACCTCCAACTTCACAGTAGCAGCTCAGGGAATTACAGACACTAATGCTACACATCCAACTTGTACTTGGGTTCTGGGGATTTGAACTCAGGTCTTCATGCTTGCCAACTGAGTCATCCCTCCAGCCCCTGGGCATGTTAATAATATTGAGGCTGTCTAAGTACATTTCAGTTGACTGTGACCTACTGTTGCTGCTGCTTACCAGCTAAATCTCCTCCTCCCATCGTGAGGGGCAGGGCTCCTCCTGACTTGAGACTGGACAAGACATGCTTTGTGATGGACAAGCCCGACTGTCAATTTGTTGGATCTGGAATCAGCTATCCTGTTGTTGCGGTTGCTGGTGACACCACCTCCATCCATCAGTACCATCAGAACCCAAAACCTCATAGGCCTTCACCTGGACTGAAGACCTCCAGTGCCAGATCGGGACTGCTGGGATATCCAGCCTCATGGACCAGACAGCTTCTAGGCTCTCATTCCTCTCCATCATACAGAAAGTCATTGTTGGACTACCCGACCACTATTGTGTAAGCCAATCTAATGTATTCGCTTTATCAGTTCTGTTCCACTAGAGGACACTGACAAATGTACACTTTCATCTGTGGGTCCTAAACCAATTGCTGTCGTCACACTGGATCTGCCTGTCCTCCATCTTGTGACACTTTCTGCCTTTGGGTTCCATTCTCATACCAGGACGTGTTTCTCTGAGACATCTGTGCTAATATTCTCATGCCATCATGTTCTTTTAACATGTCTCTGTCATTCCTTCCACCTCATGTGATGTTTGGTTGTATGTGTCGCCTTGATATATGTTCGGAATGTGTTACTTGGGAGGGTGTTTTGGATAAGATGTGCATTCAAATCAGGAGACTAGGTAAGGCACATTAGCCTCCAAAGCCTGGATGTCCCCAAGGAAGAGAGAATGCCTCCTTTCTGCCTTGCAAACTTACACATAGGCTCTTTTTTCCTCATTTTGGATTCAAACTGAGTATCCGACCCTATCAGGTCCCTGTGGCCAGTCTTCAGGTGGAAGCTGTACATCCAGACTCGCTGGATCCTCAGGACTTCAGACTCAAAGTAGAACTAAGCCAGCTGCTTTCCTGGGTCTCCTGCTGAAGAACTTAGTCTGTACATTATGAGACTTGTTGTCTCCATGAATGAGTGAGCCAGTTCCATTTGCCATATTAATCGTTCCCTCTCTATAGATTGACAGATTAAATAGATGTGTAAATAAATAGGTAGATAGTAGATAGATAGATAGATAGATAGATAGATAGATAGACAGATAGATACTAGATTCTACAGATGATTGGTGTATATATACAGATGACAGACAGACAGATAGATAGATAGATACCACTTATTGGTACTAGTTTCCTGGAGCTCCCTGACTGATACACTCCCCTGAAGTTGGTAGAATATTTAACAGTTGCAGAATCCATCTACCCACATTAATTCTACTGCAGACTGTTCCTCCCTCCCCTCACCCCAGTGATTCCTGACTCCTACAACACAAGGCAGCAGCCAGACCTAAGCTGGAGTACTGGTTTCACAAACAGCTCTATGGCCTTGGCAAGTTAGCTGTCCTTGCTGGGTCTCAGTGTCCACACTGTGAAATGAAAAGAGCCCCCCATGGAAGATCATTGATAGATCACTAGACAACACACAAAGGGTCATCCACAGTACCTGGCCCTACACTCAGCAAAACACAGCTTCTCACGATTGTGATTAGGCATGGGTGTGGGGAGGCTGCAAAGAGACCATATTCTGAAGAACTTCCTTCGTCAGAAAAGACTCTGGGAGGAGCCTGAAGGCTTGCAGAGTGACAGCACAAGCTGGCTCTGACCACTCAGGGCCCCCAGCTGAGTTCTGCTGTGTTGGCCCTCACCGGTGTAGCAAAAGCATAAGCTCTCAGAATAAACAGAGCATTGCTCTCCTCATCCTCTCCCAGGACTTGCACTGTGAGGATTTTCTTTTGAGGAAACTGATAGAGACAAAAGAAAAGTGAAAATCAGCAGTCTTGGGGAAGAGCTTGTCCATCCTTTTGCAGCCCCCTGTTCCCACCCTGAGCTCAGCTCCTCCCAAGTGATGCTGAGTAGGTAAGGAGTTAGGCATGATGCAACCAAGGAAAACTGTGTGTGTCTTGGTAGCTGTGTGCCTAATGGTCAAGTTGGCCTTTGTGGTTAAATACCCATGGAGTTTGAAGATAGGTTGTTCTCACTATAGCGTAAGGTGCCAGGGGACTTTCTCACCCTGTATCCACAAAAGACCCTGACTTCATTATCAAATATACTGTGGTTTTGACATCCCTCATGGGCTTTTCCAAAGTATCATGAGAAGAAATATTCTTTTTCAAAGGAGATCTGGCCCACCATGACTTGGGAGGAAAAAGGGGTCACATTGCCCTGTGAATAAGGCACCCACTTCCTGAACACTCATTAACAACTTCTTGAAATTTCATAATACAAAGTCCAACTTAGCTGCTTTCCTCCTCTCCAGGACAGTACCTTCCAGCCTGTCTCTGAAGTACACGCTTTGCTCTGCTAAATAAACTTCTGTTTAAACTGTGTCTGTGTCTCTGGATTGAATTTTTTCCTTTGAGACAATGACAATACACACAAATTCACACACACACACACACACACACACACACACACACACACACACACACGGTCAAAGATGATTCACTACGTTTGCTCCCAACACTGGTATGTTATGACATTATATCTGGACCATTAGTCTCTACATCAGAGGATTCTTCCTAAATGACATGGCTGAATACACCATGCCTCTTTCTCCCATTTTTTGTTTTGTTTCATTTTGCTTTTCAGACAGGATCTCACATAGCTCAGACAATCTATGAACTGTCTAGGTAGCACAAAATAATGTTGAACTTCTGATCCTCCTACCTTTACCTCACAAATAGTGAGACTAGAGGCATGTGCCACCATGCCTAGTCTATATGGTGTTGGAGATCCAAGCCAGGCATCATGCACGCTGAGCAAACACTGCCAACTGAGCCTCATCCCCTATTTTCAGCCTTTCAATAGCTCTCCTCACTCATCACAGGGCTGCTGACCCAGCCGACGTGGTCTTAATCTATCTCTCCTCCTACCCCAGCCTCATCAGCTGAGCTCTGGAAGTCTAAATTACTGCCTTTTCCCCAAAGTGATCTTTCCGCGTTAGGTACCAAATCATTTCCCTTCAGTCCAAACCAGCCCAGTGTTACCAAGTGTGCAGAGAGGGTTAATCCACTGCTCTCTCTCCTCAGACCCCCAATCTAATACCTTGTGTATCAGCATATCCCTACTCAAGAGTTACCACCTCGCGCTAGAATTTGCGGTGTGCTGGCTGTCTGTGCACTGTTCAAGAGCAAGGATGGTATTATGTTCATTTCCTTGGCTTTAATGGATGAAGCACACCAAAAGCTCTGAAAAGAGGGTAAGCGATTGCCTTTAAAGACACAGGTCTCAGGAGCGTATGACTGCAGAGCAGTGAGAGGACAGAACTTGGCTGCGAAGGCATGGTTCTGTGGCTTGATGGAAGTGGTGAGCAAATGCCCTGTAGTAAAGTCCGTGTCCTGATTTTGCTATTCCAGTGTGGCCGTGTATTATTTCCCCTTGCGGGAAACTGAGCGAAGAAAACACGGCATCACCAATATTGTCGCAACTCCCTGTGTCAATAACTATTGGAAAATAGGAGGTTTCTTACAAAAGGAAAACACAGGCTAATTCAGCTGCTCTACAAGCCTGTCAACTCCGGCACTGTCCGCAGCCTAATATCATAATCTTAACAGTTGACTAGCTGGAAGGCAAATAAGGGCAGCAGAAACAGAATCCAAGTTGTTTGAACATCTGGTTGCTTTTGAATCAAGTTCCTGCTCTAAAGAGCTTGATACCGTAACCTCAGTGATTCCTTAGAGTCCTGTGAATCGGGACAAACCAGGATCCATCAACTAGGGTCCATACTGTTATGAGAGCTAAACAAGATTAACTACAACAAAATAAAATTTGAAAACACTGTGAGAGAAGCATGTGGCTCCCCTTCCACTGTCTGGCTAGCTAGAACATGGCTGAGTGAGAAGAAAGCAGGCTGGCTGACCCACGACTCAGTACTTGGGAGACTTGTATATCTGAGTGTGTGCCCTTAGTAACTCGGAACCCCTGAACAGCTTGGGGTGCTGAAGAGGGAGGCCTTGAGCAAGCTGACACCTGCAGAAGCTGTCCTCAAACTCAGAGCCTCTCAAATACTCTGCTTTCTAGCAACCAAAAGACTGACTACCGACTCAATAACTTCAGGTTCCTGGGAGCCTGAAGAGCCGCAGGCCCCTAAAAGCTTATGTCACTAGCAACTGGGGGCCTTCCAGAAACACGAAGCTGTTCATAAATTGAAAAATCTGAATAACCTGGGGCTTCTAACAGCCGAAGACCTATAATAAACTGGAACTCTTAGCAACTCAGGTTACCTAGCAACCTGGAGACTCTATCAGAGACTCCTAGCAACTGGAAGATTGCACAACCTGGAGGCCCAGTACACATCTAATACTGGACCCAGACTGTCTCTCCCTCTGGCACTTGCTGCACACTGAATTGTGGGACTTAGATTGATCCTAGAGCTTTGGCCTGAATTAGATAATACACCCTATTATCTTGGCTGTGTGTCTGTCGCTTAACCCCTCTGAACATCAGTTTCCCTCTATAGAAAATGGTAATAATGATGACATCTAGCTCACAAAATTGTGGTGAACATCAAGTGTGGTTTATGAGAAGCTACCTCCATGCATGTTGGTTTTTGTTATTTGTTTGCTTGTTTGGTTGGGTTTTTTGAGATACAGTTTCCCTGTGTAGCCTTGGCTGTCCTGGAACTAGCTCTGTTGACCAGGCTGGCCTTGAACTCACAGAGATCCGCCTGCCTCTGCCTCCCGAGTGCTGGGATCAAAGGCGTGCTACCACCTTCTCCCCTCCCAGTATGTCACACGATCCACCAAGTCTGCTTCCAAGATAACTTTCTTGCCTTTCCCAGCTCCACTGTTGTGACCAAAGTGCCGAGTCCCTCCACCTCAGTGTCAGCCCTACCAACGGTTATCTTTCCAACAAACAAATCCTTGTGTCACTTTTTCCTAATGGCTTCCACTGACTCCTTGTTGCTATGAAGGTCAAGGTGAGACTCCAGTGCGGTGCATGAACTTTCATGGTTCGGCTCTACCTTTCAATCTTCCACCACTCCAGCCCCCATTTCCTTCCTCTACTCCTAAAGCAAATCTGAAGTGAAGGTATTTCACTTTAGTTGTACAGAAAGTGAGTCTGGGGACGTCGCTAGAAACATGCCAAGGCACACATAGCCTGGACACAGCGATTTCGAGCCACACCTGACTCCAAAACCCAACCTTTTTGGCTACATGCCCAAAGACCCACCACAGCTACTTGGAAAGATGCAAAGATGAGATTCTCAGGGTACTCATTCCCCCTCCAGGGTCTGGAGCTCAAACCTAGGGTCTCACACGTGCTAGGCAAGCACTCTATCCCTGACCTACATCCCCAGCCTCTGTATAGTCTATCTTGAGACACATCTCACTGAGTTCCCAGGCTGGCCTTGAACTTGGGATCTTTCTATCTTAGCCCCTCTGTAATTTGAGTAGCTCAAATTACAGCCTTGCACTAGCAGTCCCAGTTTCTAAGGACTCCCTTAATAAGCCTCTTAACCCCTTGTTTGGGAGCCACAAAACACCTTTTCATTTTGGTGGAACTTGAGGTTAGTACCACCAGGGGGCACTCTCCTAGTACACATGGAAAACACAGTATCAGACCCTAGGAGAGTACTGAGACCACACCTGTACCCAGTGATGCTTCACTTGAAGTCCATCTCATTTTGTTCATGATGAGCTTCAGGATAAAGGGTCAGAAACCTGCTTCCATGCCTCTGTTTGTCAAAAGAGTCCCGTCATTAGCACCTCAGTGATTAAAGATCATTTTTATTTGCATCCTTTTTATCAATAAAAGTTAACCTAGGTTATAAAAATCTATGTGTTCTTATTCGGGATACAGTAACAGTGCTGTCTCTTTTTAAATTTAAATATGACCTAGGGCCTGACAGATGACTCAGAGATTAAGACAGTGCACTGTTCTTGCACAGGACTCGTTTGGTTCCCAGCACCCGTATCAGGCAGCTCACAACCACCTGTGAGTCCCACTCCAGGGGATTCAACAGCCTCTTCTGGACTCTGCCGGTACCCTACACATGTGGCACAAACACAGGGATACATACACATAAATAAAAATAAATAAATAAGACCTGCAAGAACCTTTATTTCCCTTGCTTATTTCTCAAGGCAGGGGTATGGGAAGACTGAGGTGTGGATGGGAAGGCTGCTCTCTACTGATACAGTTCAGAGAAGTATGAGGATAAAAACATGACCTTCTAAACATGAGGGTAAAAATCCCTAAGGGGAAAATGAGTGTCTCTAGGGCCCATAGAAATAAGAGCCATCATAGGGCCAGATGGAACTTTCCAGAACATGACTGTGTATGTTTATAATCCTCTTGTCATTAATAGAGTATGTAACAGCTCTCTGACACTCTTCCCCACAGGCCTGAGAGCAAACTGAGGGGCAGTGAGAGGGAGTCCTCCACAGGGACACTTTCAGTGTGGGGAAGAGAAGTCAGACAGGACCCACAGTGATTTCATCCCTCCACAATTTTATGTCTCATCTGTGAAATGAGAATAATGGTGTGTGCCCTTGAGAGGGCTGGCTTTCTACTGTCTGAACTCTGGCTCCTCCCCTGCACATCTCTGCGACCTGCTCTCCCTGGGCTGAGATCATAGCTCCCAGCATAGCTCTCCTCCTGTGCTCAGAGTGGAGTGGGGGGAAAAGATATTATCGACCGAACGTCCAAAGCAGTTTTCTCCCGATTTCAAAGGAAGAGCTATGCTCCAGATGTGTGTTTGTCAGTGGGACATGGGGATGAGACTTGTCTTCCCATGGGATGAGGGCAATGTCTGATGATATTTTGTCTTATCACGACTTGGGGCAAGGGAAGAAGTTATTGGCACTTGGAAAGTAGCAATCAGGAATCCTGCATCCTGCAGTGCACTGGTCAGCCATCACAGCAAATAATTATTCAGTCCAGGGGTTTTAATCAGGAAACACTCACAGTGCAGAGCAGTCTCAGTACTTGCTCCCTCTCTGTCCCTACCTTCTGTGTGATGTTGGACAGGCTCATTACCCTAGACCATGTAGAATAAGATAGTTTAGCTTGATGATCTAAATGGGCCCCCAAGTGCCTGTCATTCTCAAAGCCTTTGCTTACAGTATTGAGTCTCCCGAATCATAGCAAGTATCCCCACCTCCATTCCCTCGATTATAAAATGAGGCTGAGTATTCTTGCTTCATTGTTTCTACTATGGTATGAGAGAAAAAAGTGACTAATGAATGTAAACTTGCCTTACACATAGTGGGTGCTTTAAAAAAAAAATCCACACATGGTAGTTCATGCCTGTAATCCTAGCATCTAGGAGGTTAAGGAAAAAGGAGGTCAAGGGTCAAGTTCAGGGTCAGTCTGGGTGACATAGCAAGACCTTGT